AAGGAGGCTGGGAGCGGCTGATTGCTGCCTTTCTGTACCCGTGGGCTTTTCTTCTTGGTAATTGAGTGTTTGCATCCGAGTCGTCCTTCCCTTTAACCACTGCAGCAGGAGTTTGAAGATTTCTGAAACACCCCTCATTTAGAAGCAAATCAGACCGATTCTGCACTCACGGCAGTAATTGCTTCCTGGTCTCTTACCCATGGTGATAATCTGCTGAGCTGCTGCTGTAGTCTCTCCATGCCCATCTTGTACAAGCTCTGGCCTCTTTCCCTGTTCTGGTCCCTGGGGAATGGGAGAGGCTACCCTGGACACTTGCAGAGTGTGCCTCACCTGCGTGGATGGGCCAGGTTTCAGAGAAGTAGGGTCATATGTGCAATTGACTACTTTTCTCTGAGTCTGCTGTGCAGGTTTTCACAGCCCAGGGCAGCTGTGTTACTGGAGGAGGCAGGGACATTTCTTCATCCATAGACCAACTGTGACCCTCACCTTGCTGACTCCATCAACACTTTCCTCTGTTGACCCTTCAAAGTGCTCATTCCTACACCACTGTTTGTATTGTCTGAGACTGACCGACCCCTCCCAGCACTGAGGAAATTCAAAACCAGATCAGATCAAAGTTGCTCACAGTTTTGCAATCGAGAAGCATAATCCTCTCCTGATAATTACCCTAAAGCGTGATAAATGTTGTGATAGAGGAATGAACCGGCCTCTGGGAAAGCAGGGGGCAGGCGTAGGATGGCAGCATTTCCTGGCTGGGTATGGAAAGACTTCTGAGAAATGAAATCTTTGCCCGGTCAGTTAGGATAAAAACAAGTGGACACAGATACATGTGCAGGGCTGGGCCTCTAGGCAAATGGAAAGAGTATATCCAAAGACAGAATTTATGGGCCTGAGGAAGATGGCTCAGTGTCTGAGAGCTTCAGTCTACAAGCATGGGGACCCAAGTTTGAATCCCAGCACTTACATAAAAAGCTTGGCATAGTTGTGCACCCAGGAGCATTAGAGTGTGGGCAGGAGGGAGGGTGTACACCTTTAATCCCAGCACTCGGGAGGCAGAGTCAAGCAAATCTCTGTGAGTTCGAGGCCAGCCTTGTCTACAGAGCTAGTTCCAGGGCAGCTAGGGCTGTTACACACACACACACACACACACACACACACACACACACACACACACACACACACACACACACCAAAAACCAAAACAAAAAAGCTTAGCATGGCTACCAATGAGGCAGTCTGCTTTTATAAGGGCCTCAAAGGTGCTCCAACAGTTCTTGTTTCCCAGACCTCAGACAAGAAGCCAGAGGGGGGAAAGACCAGGTGGTGTCTGATGGAGATGACCACAATGTTTTTAGTTACCTGAACTTAGTCACCTGACCACACCTAAGCTTCAAAGGAGGCAGGAAACTCCTTCCTCATAGTGCCTAGCCCTAACTCAGGAATTTATATCAGGAAAAGCAGAAAGGGGAAAAGGATAAATACTGGGAATTATTTAACCCCAGAATCTGCTACATGCCATTTCTACTTGAGCCAGTAGTTCAAAGATTAGTTTGGGGAAAGAACATGTCCACAGACTTTTGGGGTAAGTATTGCTGCTCTGACTGTCGTCAATCCATATAGCCTGAGAGACAACACTGCTGCTTTTCCCTCTGAGGGCTCACACAAGTCACCTGGGCCAGTGCTGGAGTACTCTGCAGAGCCTGCAGGCTGCATTCCTGGTAGTGCTGTAGGCACACCCTGTGATGGCTGACCCCTTTCAGCTACCCCAGATGTCAAGTCGAAGGTGTTTCACATATTTGTTTCTTCCTCCAGAAGCTAATTTGTTCTAAAGCTGTGGTGACCCTTGAAGAGCCATGCTTTTATCTTGATTTTGGAATGGGACCAAAGTTTTAGTTAATCTTCAGATGACAGAAACCTGATTCTGGCTGTGCCTTTTTTTTCCCACGGAGGTCAGCTGGCTCCCAATTTAGGTCAATTTGCCTCTGAAGGAACTCTCCAAGGACAGATACTTTGTCCTCATTAGCTGATCTGTCAGGCTGCTCTTCCCAGGTGGCTCAGAACCCTTTATAGACTTTCCCTCAACCTCACTCTGGTGTGCCCATGTCTGCCTGCACACTGAGGGACATGGGGTGGTTCGGGAGGAAATGACTAGGATTCACCCTTCTTCCCAGTGCAGCCCCACCTCATCTGTGGTTCCTTGCCTTCTGTCTTTATTCAAGCCCCAGTCTGGCAGTCTTAAAGTTAGTTCACAAACTCTTTGGCACCTCTCAGCTCTTGTGACACAGCAAAGTGTGTCACACTGATACTCAAGATGCCCATTTGTAGATTTCAAAAGGCCACAGGCATCTTGTCTGGAATATGCTTTCATCGGGCTTCAGTTGTCATATAAATATGGTGGACAAGGCTGCCATACTGTAAGGAAGTCAAGCCAGCCTTCACAAAGAGTCCACGAGAGTTGCACGAAGAGACACATGCTTGTGGGACCATTGGCACCTCAGCTTTCTGCCAGTTCAGCTTCAGCCGCATCTTGTCTCTCTGTAACAAAACATGAGGCTCCAAACAAGAGTGGACATAACTATGCAGAATACTTAAACCACAGAAAGTGTGAGAGTTTATAGGTCCTTTTTATAAGCCTCTCAATTTGAGGTTGCTCTGTTGTACAGAAGTACAACAGTCCATCAGAAGAGCCACAGTCCATCAGAAAGATATTCTCTAGACCACTGATATATCTGCCTGGGTAGGGGAACTGGTTAGGACCCACCCTGGAATTTTACTTTCTTCACAGATAGCCCTTCCCTCAATTCCTGTTGGCTTCTTCAGACCCTTGTATTCCTGAGCTCTCTCCAAGACGGTGAGGCTGGGCAGGAAGGCTGCCCTCAGATCCTGTCCTGTCCTCGTTTCCCAAAGCTTTTCTGGTCACATTCCCGAAATGATAACCCAATCCTTCTCCTCATGGTGTTTCTGATGTGAGCTAAGCCATAATTTCTAACTCAATTCTTTGTTGACATGAGACTGAAACTGGAATGAGGTTTCTTATTCATATCAGCCCTGTACTAGGCAGGGAAGACCATTCTTTTGGAGTTACCCAGCCATTCTGACCCTCTTCAACACAAGACAACTTTTGCCTGCCTCCAGGGCTGCTGAGAGGACATGTGGGAGAAGTCTGTAGGGCGCTTAGCAGGCACTGCTGAGTGTGGTGTCATTCCCGTGAACCACCAGGTCTCCTGTATAACCAAGTACCCTTGAGCTCCAGTCTTAATGGCTCCGACTTTGTAGAAACACCAAATTCAATATAACCTGCAGGGTCTCAGAGGACTCTGCCCTGGATGGGTGACAAAACCTTGTTCCATCCTGCTTCCCAGCAAGGATCCTGGGTCAGGCATGGTTCCATCTGGCATCTTGCCTCCATGGCCTTACAAAAGTGGAAACAACAGTGGAACATTCTAGGATGTGAACATCCAGATGCAGCTAGAGATGGAATGCAGTGGGGAGGGGGTGGGGTGGAGGACTGACGTGGTAGTTCCTCCAGATGTGTCCTGTGACATTTATAACACCAGGTTATAAGTTAACCTTCATCCACTCAGCAAACCTTGGGAAGAGTTTGGCTTTTAAAAGGACTCAGCACTGAATGGGAGAGGCCCCTCCCTTCATCATGTGCCTCTCTTGGTGGCTACCTGTTTGAAAGCTTCATGTAAATCTTGATTAGTTTGGAGGATGTTTCTTCATTCAGGAGGAGAAGAGTTGGCATTTTGATTTGACAGTAATATTTTAGAGTAAAAGCTGTCAGGGTCTGGAAAGAATAGGAATGGGGAAAAAAATCCCTAGAGTCCTGATCCATTCCAGACAATCACAGTCTGAGACACGTGAAAGCGACACGACACCTCAGGCTAATTTATGGCGTGTTTTCTATTAGAATTGCAAAGTCCTCACAGTTGGGAGGTGTTAAAATATGACTTCACATCATATTAAATACATACTATATTTAAACTGAGATGTGAACTGAAACATGAGGCGAACTAAACTAATTTGCTGAATTCTGAACTGATCTTGGTTCTGCCTTCATTGTTTCATCATGTGGAACCATACCATTTGTTTTTGAAATTATCCCAATAGATCTGAGACCTAATGGGTAGAATCCTTGGTGGCCTGTGACTGAGTTCTGCCATGCTGGCTGTGCTTCAGTCAAGGGGAGTGTTAGCTAACTTCCTATTACTGTGACCAAATCTGAAGGGAGGGAAGCTTTATCTTGGCTCACTGTCTCAGAGAGTTCAGTCCATGATCCCTTGGCCTCTTGCACTTGGTCAGGCCATGGAGGCAGTGGGTGCCTGTGGCCAAGGAGAGCTGTTAGCCTCATAGTAAGTAGACTGAAAGCAGAGGAAAAGGAAGAGACAAGGCCAAGGACACAGTCACACTATTTTCTCTTCCACCAAAGCCCACATCCTAATAGTTCCATCCAATGTGAATCCTTCTTGGATGAATTCTTTCATCAGGTCAAGAGCCCTCATGTCCCAATAGATTCTGGAGTCACCTTCACAGAGGCTCCTTGAGCTGTGCTTCCCTTCTCCTAGGTAGATGCCCATCCAGTAAAATTGACAGTGTAGATGACCCATCCCAAGGGCAGTTTCTGGTGTGAGCAGAAATGCCCTTGACCGTAGTTGTTCTTTTCACTATTTGGGGGCCCACCACCCAGCTCCCAAATAAATACACAGAGACTTATTCTTTGTGAATGCCTAGCCTTAACTTGACTTGTTTCTAGCAAGCTTTTCTAACTTGAAGCATTTTTCCTCTGGCTTTTTACGTTTCCTTATTCTATATATCTTTCTTTCCTTCTTACTTTGTGACTGTTTGTGTGGCTGGGTGGCTGGCCTCTGGCGTCCTCCTCTCCTCCCTTTCTTGCTCCTTGCTTTTCTCTTTCTCCTCCAGCCTACATTTCTCCTCCTATTTATTGTCTCTGCCTGGCAGCCCTTTATCAGACCAATCAAGTGTTTTGGGCAGGCAAAGTAACATGGCATTACAGAGTTAAAAAAATGCAACATAAAAGAATGTACTACATCTTTGCATCATTAAACACGTATTCCACAGCATAAATGAATATAATACATCTTAAAGTAACATTCCACAACACTTGACAGTGGAGGTTTCCTATCTGTCAACCCTGCAGCTCTTGGTCTTCCAGCCGAATTCAGATGGTTCTACAAGATGTTTGGTTCCTTTTGGAAAAGTCTCAAAAGGTAGAAATCGGTGTGCTCAGGGTTTCTTGAGACGGCATCTGTTAAAGAGAAGAGCAGCATGGTCAGATCTCAGGAGTATTTGGCACCTGGTGTAGAATTGCTGAGCCATGTAGTAACTGTGTGTTCTGAATCATTTCCAACCTGTTTTTCAAAGTGTCTATGTCATCTCCCAGCATTCTTGTCATCTTTGTCATTAACAACACAGCACAGACTTCCTCGATGATATTTCCAGTCTGGAGACAAATACACAAGTTATATGTAGCAGTCCCTTCCTCCTGGCGATTAATATCCAGCTAGGATAAGCGGGAAGCAAATTCTGTGACTGACGGGGTGGAGGGGTGGAGGGTGGGAGTGGGGGTAGTGGGGGTGGGGGTGGTGCTGAAGAGAAGGCATTCTTCCTTCCAGTGGTCAGATGGGGGAGGGGAGGAGGGGAGGGGTGGCATTCTTCAGGCAGTCAGATCCTTCCTCATCACATGACCTGAGGATGCTCTCCTGTGGAGAGCTAATGGCTGTCCCCTTCACTGGGACAGTCACACGTGCCACCCAGCAGACAGTTTTAGGTGGGCAGTGGAAATAATCATTGGAAACCATGTGTGTATCATGTTTTGGGTACTTTCCTTCATTGAAAATTCCCAGCACCTCATGGGACGGTTTCTATTACCCACATTTTACCCACGAAGAAAATAAAGCCAAGACATAATTAGTTATTAGTAATTTGTTTTGAATTTAATCATCTTATAGGCAAAGGGAATGGAGTTGAATCCAGATGTCCATCTTAGGTGCTAATTATGCTGTAAGATAATGAGTCTAAACACCCAGCAGGGATCTGAATGTTTAGACCCCACCTTACTTTCAAGGGCAGAAATCGATCTGGGATCACCTGGGAGGCAAGCCTTCTGGGCACACCTGTGAGGCAGTATGTAGACTAGGTTAGCCTCTGTGCATGTCTGTGGGGGTTATTAGATTAGGTTAGCCTCTGTGCATGTCTGTGGGGGTTATTAGATTAGGTTAGCCTCTGTGCATGTCTGTGGGAGTTATTAGATTAGGTTAGCCTCTGTGCATGTCTGTGGGGGTTATTAGATTAGGTTAGCCTCTGTGCATGTCTGTGGGGGTTATCTAGATTAGGTTAGCCTCTGTGCATGTCTGTGGGGGTTATCTAGATTAGGTTAGCCTCTGCAAGTCTATGGGGGTTATCTAGATTAGGTTAGCCTCTGTGCATGTCTGTGGGGGAATTATCTAGATTAGGTTAGCCTCTGGGCATGTCTGTGAGAGGGTGTCTTGATTAGGGTAGTTGAGAAGACCTGACCCAAATTCAGGCAGCTCCGTTCCCTAGGCTTGGCCTGAATTAAAGGAGGAAGAATGCTGAGTACAAGCGTTCGCTGTCCTCTGTTTACTCACTGTTGGCTTAGGCTAACCAGCTGCATCACACTCCTGCCACGAGGACTTCCCATTATGATGGATTGTACCCGCAAACTAGGAGCCAGAGTAACCCTTTGTTCCTTAAATTGCTTTCATCTGGGTATTTTATCAAAGCAGTGCAGCAAGTAGCTAATATTCCCAAATATTGTATTAGGAGCTAGATCTTTGGAAGTGATTATACCATGGGAGTGGGCCCTTGTGAATAAGATCAGTACCGTTACAAAGTAGCCTGATGCCCTTTTCATCTTGTGATCATTAACAAGGACGTGCCGTGCCATTGATGAGCTGGGAGATCTTTGTCACGAGTCTGCCAGAGCCTTCATATTGGACTTCCCAGCCTCCAGAGCTGAAAAATGATTTTCTGTTGTTTAGAAACCACATGTTTTATACTGTTTTGTTTTGTTTTTCTAGCAGCCTCAACTAGGACATGGGCTGCCTACTTCCCTGTTGTCTCCCTAGTGGCCTGCATGTAGCTGGCACTTGATAACCCTTCCTTGAATACACTGTGGGATGAAATGAACAACTGACTGGAGGAGCAATCCAGACAGAGCAGCAACAGCCAAGGGGAGGAGGGATTGATTTATGGGAGAAAATTAGAGGAATAAAATCCATAGATAGAGTTTGCCTAAGTGAGAATGATGATGGCAACCAGGGGCTCCCAGGGAGAAGAATGGCTTAACATGGGAGTGGGAGCAGGGAGTCGGAGAGGCAGCACCAAGGCTGGAATATAAATGGAGGCTCACAAGCTTGGGTTCCTGCCTGAGTGCGCAATTGGAAAGTGAACTTCTGCATATAGATGCATAGGACAGACAATGTCTACCCCATTACGAAACGGGCTAGCTGTAGAGTTCCCAGGACTCATTTTCCTCTGCTATATGGTTTGGTGTGTTTAGTAAACTACTATTCTTAAAAAAAAAAAAAAAAGTGGTGGAACCCAGAAGCCAAAAGAAGGGTTTGGACATCAGCAGATACTGTAAGTAAAGAGAGCCTGGTAGGCTCTGAGAGGTGGCTTACACTATTTATCCAAGAGTGGGCAGCTTCTGTTTACACATGGAGTGTTCTGTATCCAAGGTCTCCCTCACAGTGTTGAGCACAGATGGCTGCCTCCTTTCCCAGACTGAGCAGGGCAGAAGAGCAGAAGTCATGATTGACACCACCTCCCTCAAAACTTCACCCCCTGCTACTTGTAGCCCATTAGAGAAAAAAGGATCCTGGATGCCACTGAGCCCTGCCAGGCCCCACCATTAGCATTTCACACCTACTGTGGGCCTCTAAGGAACCTGTTCTTATCATTAGGACCCCTCTATTTGTAGAGGAAGAAAATGAGCCTTAGGGACATGATGGAACTTGTGTAAAGCCATTAGACTAATGGTAGGGGGGGGGGCACAGGATCAAAACCTTACTCTGTGACTCACCCAAGCTCCCAACCACTGCTGTATAGGGTACCAACCCTGCACACCAGCACCTTGCATCCTGGTTTGGGTGGGAAGGGCACAAACAGAAAAGATCAGGTAAGGCTATGTTGAAAGCAAGGATTGGGGTTTTGTAGTTTGTAAAATCCACCTGGAGTTGGGGAGCAGCTGTCGAGGCAATGGCGCTCATCGTGGGGGTTGGGAAGTGGAAAGACATCACACTGTTGCTGTGCTCATAACTGATGGACAACCAGTTTCATGCCCCAGTCTCTCTCTTAAAAATGGGAGCCAGACTGTCTGTGACTCTGCTGGAATAAGGATAAGGAGCCAGGCCTGGCCATAGAGAATGTGCTGTAACATCACTGCAGCCGTTACAGTGTGGTTGCTGCCACTGTGGAATATTGTTATTAAGCAAAAAGCATCTTAGATGCAGGTGACCCAGCCCCTCCCGAGGCACCATAACCTAGTGAGAGACGGATGGATGGACATTTCCTGTCCAGCTGCTAGCCTGCTTTTCCACATACCACACCCCACAGCAAGTGGACGCATAATGCATGTACAGCACATACCACTCGGTACATGCTTTCCCTTTTTGTTTTCTTTACTTTTTTTAGTAAGGGTGGGGATGGCCTTGCACATAATAGGCAAGGGCTCTCCACCTTGGCCTCCTAGCCCTAGTGACTGTTTGTAGTGTGGCCTGTTGAACCCAGTCTGTAGCTGGGCTTCTCTCTGCCAGGATAGCTACGATCTGGAAACTGTAAACACTCCCCTTGTTTCCACTGTGTATCACTCTCCAGTGTAAATTTCTCCTCATACCGTATTTCTCTGACCCCTTGAAAAACTGCAGGGTGGTACGGCCAAGCTTAGGGGCACGGCCAAGCTTAGGGGCACAGAATGGAGTGAGGAGTTGGAAGTAGGATGGTAGCAGAATTGGGGTGCGGGGGAGCCTTTAGTCGAAAACACCGACCCATCGCTCACTCAAGCTGTTGTACTATCTTCGAGGAGACCAGCCAGGAGGAGGCCCAGTTCTGTCCAGACACAGACTGAGGAGAGCCTGTGCCAGTCTCCCAGCCTTCCCAGGCTGCTGAGGCTCTGGCTGAAGCAGGCATTGCTTTTTATCCAGCCTGCCTATACCTCATTATTTACATACTATAAAATAATGCTTAACTCTAAATTACCGCAGCCAGAGTCTCAAGTGAGGCTAGCTAGACCTTCACAGATGAAAGCAGACTAAATACAATGGGGAGGGAGGAAGACAGCCACAAATAAAATGTCATGGAATGCCTAATGATAGAAGGTTATGCGGCAGCCTGCGTAATTGGGCAAAGTGGCTGATGGCAACAGCTGGCAGGGTAAGCTGGTCTTCAGTTCTATTTATGTGTTTATCTGCTGCCTGTCACCATAATGGCCACAAGCAGTATTGATCACAGATTAATTTTGCCTCATTCCTTCTGTTTCTTGGCTCTGCCCTTACCAGTCTCACCTCCCCCCATCAAATAGGCAAGCAAATGAATATGTGGGAAAACCTGGAGTTGGCGGGGGACAGGACTGTCTGTCTGTCTGTCTGTCTGTCTACTAGGTGATGTAGAGGATAGTTCTTGCTGGGAGCCTGGCCCAGTTCTAAGAGGTCTTAAGTCCATAACTACATTTTTTAATATGACAACCTTATGAGTTCAGTGTCATCATTGCTGTTTTCCAGATAAGGCCCAGAGAGATTTAGTAACTTGACAGAAGCCACCCATGTTGGGACAGAAGTAACCATTGCTTACTTGGCTCTGCAAGGTGGTGTTTTGTACTATTTCAGTACATATGCTATGGAACTTACATTCTTTTAAAAGTTATTTTGCGGCATTTGTGTGTGTTGTGTGTGTGTTTGTGTGTATGTATGTATGTATGTATGTATGTATGTATGTATGTATGTATGTGCATGAATGTGGAGTAGAGAAGGCAGCCATGAATGTTTTCCTCAAACATCCACCTTTAGCCTGGAGTTCATCCATTGGCCAGCCTGACCAGCAAGCCCCAATAATCCTCCTGTCTTTACCTCCAACTTTTGGCATATAGATGTCCACTATTATGCCCAGCTTTTTCACATGGATCCAGGAGACCAAGAGTGGGCCCGTGTCTACTCTTTACCGTGAACTATGCAATCCCTCTAGGTCTCACTGCCCAGTAGTCTTTAGACTCATCTGACCTCCATGGCTTCCGGTGTGAAAATCCCGTCTCTTAGACATGCCAACTTCTTGCCATAGGGCCCTCCGGATCTCTTACCCCTGCCCTGCTCACCCAGGTCACGTGGACTGTCCTCTGTCACCCTGAACCTTCCGCAGTCACAGCTGTGCACCTCGTTGTTTTCCTTGCCCGTGTGCCCCACACCCCAAGACAAAGGCAGCAGAGAGCTCAGTGCGTGGGCTGCTGGAGCCACCATCTGTGCCCAAATCCCAGCTCTGCTGCTTGTGTTGTCTGTGGGACCACAGGCAGGAGACTTCCTTTTTCTGTCCTCCGCTCCCCGTCTGTAAAATAGAGATAAGCACCAGGTTGCTAAGCAGTGAATTAACTAATACATGAAAGTACTCCCTGCACAGTGTGGCACACGGCAAGCCCTGAGCAGATGGTAATTGCTATTACTGTCATCCTTAATAAGATTATTATTGTTAGCCCAGATTGGGTAGTCACTGACTATGGAACAGGCAGACAAATCAACTTCTGTAGAAGGGGAAACAGAGTCTTCAGCTGGCCAATGGGGAATGTGTAAGCTGTTTACCCAGGACCCTGCTCAGTGTAAGGCCATTCCTTCTGGTAACCCAGTCACCTCTTCCTGGCACTGCTATGTGAAGTCAGCAGGTGTGGGTAGCTGCTCTTTGTGTCAGCCTCTAGGGGCTTAGGGAGATGTGCTGTCAGTAGAGGATGGTGTTTCCCTGTTAGGCACATGATTCCCAAGCCTCATAGACCCTGTGGCTAACGGCTCTGTGATCCTGTCTTCTCCAGCAGTCCCCAGTTGGTCTACGATAGAAAGCCACTTCTCGTTTGAAGCAGATGGAGATGCCATAGCTTATGCTGTGGCCAAGCAGGTACAAACAAGGTCACTTTAGAGTGTTGTAAAACCTGGTTAGTGTGCTCTGTGGTCACACACAATACATCTCCTTGGCCTCAAGAGGGTCAGATGGAACCTAGCGCGCTGCTCTCCAGGACATCGCAGGTTCTCTAGGAAGCCTGTGTCCTCCTCCGCTGCCCTCCTTTCCTCCCTGCTCCTGTCCTCCCAGTCCCTTCTGTTTCTATTCTCCCCTCTTCTGCTGGCCTGGAGCAGGAGCCTTGACACGTGGTTCCTGTGAGGTGTAGATCTGCTCCTGGGCCCCCTAGCCCTGTCTACCCTACTTCCTGTTCCGAAATCAAGACTGACAGCAGAGCTGCTCTCTAACCCAGTGGGGCCACACAGTGTAATCCAAGTGGGCAGGTCTCTCATCAAAGACAAGAAGCTATGTGAAAGACCCCACAAGCCAGTGTTACCCCAGCCTCTCCCAGCATGTCCCAGTACAGAAATGTGGGGGATTTGGGATGGGCACTGGTCTCCGGAGAAGCTGACTGTGGCCTGTGTCACACTTGAGCATCGATCTCTGTCACGTGGTCATCTAGCTAGACTTTCCACAGGTGCAGTGATGAGGTGCTGGGGACGGGCACTCGGTTGCCATTTGGGTTTCGGTTGCTGTGACTCCGGTGTTCTGGGTAATCTGTGACATGTCTGTTGGGTTCATTTCCTTTTTAATTCCTACTGAAAAGAAGAAAGAACTCTGTGTAGCCACAGTGCACAAAGGGCCCACAAATAAGGAAAGTGGGTTATAGGATGGCTGAGATCATTTGAACACATATAACCATCCCACAGTTAGATCCACTGCTGAGGCCGTGTGCCCTGGGAGCTTCCCTCTGCAAAAAGAATTGTATGGTGCCAGCCAGAGAAAAATCCACCAGAA